GGGTACTCATCTCTTGTGGCTGTATCCCTTCCCTTGTTAGGGGGGTACTCATCTCTTGTGGCTGTATCCCTTCCCTTGTTAGGGGGGTACTCATCCCTCGTGGCACAGAAAGGGAAGCAAGGCCCTTCAGGATCACTCCTCGCCTCCTCCTCAAGCCTGGTATCCACACACCCCTGCCTCTCCACCACTCACTTTCCTTCCAAGCACATCTGCCCTTCCTGAGACCACCCAGGCTTTAGACATTCCTGAGCTAAGAGCCTCTTTCTCTTTGTTGATATGTCCTCTCCCCCCACCTCCACTCTTAACTGCCCGAGACCTCCTACCTATTCTGCAAGGCCCCAATTAAGTCACCTCCCCTAAGAAGCCTTCTCTGATTCCACCACTGCACACCCCTGGAAGCCCTCTGCACACAACTTTTTCCCTCTAACGTTTCCCATTGTAACCAGGCACCTCCCAGCATGGTGCCTCTCACGTGGTTGGCAACGAATAAATGTTCCTGAGCATTTATTCTACAAAGGAGAAGGGACAATAGTGAGATGACACGTCCATAAACAAGTTGAAAATCTCAGTAAAGAAAAACCAGTATTTTGCCAAAACATGAAGGGAAAACCAAGGCCAGTCCTCTGCACAATACAGTTCACTCAGCAATTGGGAAAGAATAATGCAGATAATTATCCAGCCCGGGATGTCCTGATGCCATTTGAGCATTTTTACCTTTGTAGAATAACATGTCTGCTAAATACAGTCTGAGAGTTTTCCTTTATAAGTACCTTTTACTTGCCACATCCCTCAAATACACCAATTCACAAATCCTGTTTATTAATTACAAATCGGTAAGGAACAGAGTCACATCAAATTCAAAGCACACAGGCCTGTTGGCAATATTCTCCATTCTCACAACATCAAACCAGCCAAGGACAAGTCTACCCTCTCATATCAAGGACCAAAAGCCACATCTGGACAGTTAGGCAACAGTTTTCTTTGTGTGCCACCTGCTTTTAAATGTCCTGCTAGCTGCCTGCCCACCATGCATGTATCCTTGCAAGCCCCTTAAATCCAATACAGTGGTTCTCAACCTGTGGGTCACAACCCCTTTGTAACAATGAAAACACATCACGGCATTAGGAAGGTTGAGAGCTACTGATCCAATAGGTGGTATCTCTTCACCTTCAACAATTTCTGCCTGGAGAGGAGACACTCAGGGTATGTAGGGGTTGCACCTACTTTACAAATTGGGATTGGAACCCCTGAGACCCTGGGTTCAAGGCTCCCCCTCAGCTTCTAAGGACTTAAGCATGTATAAAACATAAAATAAAATAATAACTTTTAAAAAGACTTATGAGTGTAGACAACCAAGTTTGCAAATTTATCCTAGAAAAAGTGCCACATACCTCGCTGCTGATATCACTACAGTCACCAGATGGCCAAGTGGAGACTGTGAAGTGGAGTGATACTCAGCAATGCAGTATGTAGCACTTTTTCTACGGTGAGTTTGCAAACTTAATTGTCAGACCTTCTAGGCCATAGCTCTGATGGCCATTCCAGAAAAAGAATCCCAAGATTGCTCTGAAGGGTGGACTTAGCGCTGCCATCAGTGCACAGCTTCCCCAGGGGAGGACCTCAGGGGTGACCAGGTGATATTCAGCAATGAGGTCTGCAGCACTTTTCTAGGATGAGGTCATGAACTCAGTTTTCTGACCTTTTAACTATATGAGCTCAGCCAAGTCATTTCACTTCTCTGATCCTTAGAAGTATTATTAGGGGAGGAAACCATCTGTAGGTCTCCTCTAGCTCAAAAGGTTTACCTCGCTGGGATGACTGACACCTCTGAAACCTGTGCTCCATGTTACAGGCTCGGGTGCTTGTGTGTACACGTGTATGTGTGTGCATGCCTATGTGTGCACATGTGTGCGTGTATACACGTATGTCCACGTGTGTGTGTGCTTCCTGCCTGCACACTCTGCTGCCCACTGGACTTGGCTCTGGGAATATAAGCTGTTTTTATGAAAACACAACTGAAACGTTGACTGCCCTTGGGGGAAAAACAAAGTGCTCACTTTAGTAAAAAATAAATATAAAAGGAACCATGGGTTAGTGTTTGATGTTTATGCCATTGGTCTCCAACAATACAGAGCCTTGTGGTGCAGCTTTTTGAAATATATTTTTCCATTAGAACAATATTAATGGGAGGTGTCCAGCATGGGCCATAAAAGCCCCTAAAATAGTGATAAACCTGAAATATGCTTCCCACCTCTTCTACCCAGGCATACCACCCCATCCTCCTCCTTGGTAACAATGGGTTTGGAGCAGGTTGGAGCAGGTGGAGCAGGTTTACATATTTTATAAATGTAAATTTTTCTCTAAATTCTCATCACTATACACATATGTGTATATATACATATATATACCCATACATGCCCAGGAGTATGATTTTTATAAAAAATGGGTCATAAAAGACATACTCATTTGGTCCCTTCTTTTTCTCTGTAATAAATACTTCGTGAAAATTTCTTCATGTCCATTGGAATAGCTCTAATTCATTCAGTCTAATGGCTACATTCCATTCCATTGTATGGCTATACCTAATGTAGCCAATTATTCCCATATTTGTGGGTATTCACTTTATTTCTAATTTTTTGCCCTCACAAACAATTCTGCAATCCATGAACCTGTATCTTTAAAAGTAAGAGCATTTATTTCTGTTGGATAAAGTCCCAGGAGTGGGTTTCTAAGTTGAAAGGAATTTATATTGTTTTAATAGATCATGACAGATACAACTGTCATTTCAAATGAAGGGTCTCTGAGATAAAAAAAAAAAAAATTAAAAAGGAAGCTATCTTTATTTCTTCCTTTGGGGAATGGCATTTTGTTTGCATACGGCGGCAACAAATCATAGAAACTGTAATTTTTAAAAAAACATATAAAATATATACAACAAATAAGAAATAGCAATAATTTTAACACACACAGCAAAGATACTTAAGACCTCCATGGGGAGAAATGTAAAGCTTATTGAGCAATACATGTAATCATAAATAATAAATAAAGACATACACCAAGTTCATGGGTTGGAAGACAGGATATCATTTCCATCTGAATTGTTTATAGACTCAGCACACACTCAAATTAAATCCTAGCAGGATTTTTATAAACCACCTTTTTAAATAGGGATATTTTAAGAGAACAAAATATAGGAAATACAGTAGAACCTCTATATTTGACCACCTCCCTACATTGACCACCTCCTTAGGTTGACCTAATTTTCATAGACTGAACATGTACCACATGTATCAGTACAGGAGGCCTATTCCTTATGTTGACCACCTCTGTATGTTGACCAATGTGTTAGAGTTCCTTGGGTGGTCAGCTTACTGAGGTTCTACTGTGGGGTGAACTCCCGCTTAAGTGGGAGCTGCAGTTGCATCCTCCTCATGCCCTAATTCTGTAGCAAAGGCACACACATGCATTTACTCAATTTCTCCTTCTCTCCAAGCCCAGTGAAGCCCTCAGGCACTTGGGGAACAAGGGACTGATGAGGGAAAAAGGTGAATAGGAAGTAGGGCTGGCTGGTTAGCAGCCTCTGAAATGATGGTGGGAGCAGAGGTCCTACGGGGGGACGAATCTTTTAAGAACTCAAGACAGGGAATGAGGTTCACATTTCATCTAAAGGAGGAGTGTAATTCATGAATGGGGAGTGGGGTTGGGGAAGGGAGAAAAGAAGGAGGCAGAGGCCCCAATGCCACCACCTCCCCCAGTGACAACAGGAATCAGAACTCCATGGGCAGGGAGATGAGAAGGTCCCTTAACAATGACCTTTTATGGCTCCCATCACACCATGATGCTATTATCTATCTTGGGGCTTGGGTCTCTGAGTACTCACTTAAGTACTACTAAAGGGTCCAAGAAGGCACTCAGTCAGTTATGGCAAGAATGAATGAATGAATGCATGGAGACCAGACATAAGAGAACTTGTTCAAAGTTGACAGTGTGCCCTGAGCACATCTTCCATCCCTGTGCTTCCTGTGGCAGTGCACCAGTAGTGAGATCCACCCATCAGCATTCTTTCCACGCAGAACAAGATGCAACCTGTTCTGAATGAACAGGCAACAACCTATTTTCTAACACCAAGCTTTCTCTCTTGGTGATTTATTATTATTATAAGATTTATTACAATTTTTGTTTCACTCATTTGTAACCCATTCCTTACAGTTTACAGGAAAAAATGAGGACCTTTCTTTCTTTCTAATATTGTAAAAAAATAATAATAAATGGCTTTGAGATACTCCAGGCAGGAGTTTTTGTTACCCACCATATATGGTTAATGTGCCTTAATTTTCCAGCTTAAAAATCAAATCATTAAGATCAAAAGCTTATAATTCCACTGCCCTATTTTCCTGTTCTAATCCATTAACATGCCTCAGGGCAAAAATGTTCTGGATCATTTGTCAAAAGCTGCGGTATCTAAACACAGAGATAAAAAGAGCCATGTTGCGTGGGTTACATGTTTACCCCATAAAAAAGCACAAAATGATTTATCAAACCTCTCAACAACCTATCTTGTCCTATAGTTTTTACACTGGCAACTGAAGAAAGTATCTGTGGGGGGTGATTCTTCTTTATGTAGTATGACTCATAAAATACTGAGAAAGCAGACAGCACCTATGGCTCAGTGAACAGGGCGCCAGCCTCATATACCAAGGGTGGTGGGTTTGAACCTAGCCGACCAAACTGCAACAAAAAAATAGCTGGGCATTGTGGCGGACGCCTGTAGTCCCAGCTACTCAGGAGGCTGAGGCAAGAGAATCGCCTAAGCCCAGGAGTTGGAGGTTACTGTGAGCTATGATGCCCTAGCACTCTAAGGGCAACAAAGTGAGACTCTGTCTCTAAAAAAAAAAACTGAGATTGCAATTGGAGATATCTGGCACATATACAATGATTACCCTAATGTCCTACAAAAAAACCTAGCCTGTTCACTTTACTTTGTTTAAATGTTGCCTTAATGTTTAAAAAACAATGATAGAGGTTCTAGTTTGCTCAGCTCTCTCCTATTGTTCTCTCATTATTCAAAATCAATCCTCAGGCACAAATCATCCCACCCATTTTACAGATGAGTAACTGATGTCCAGAGGCTCAGAGACTTGCTCAAGGCACAGAACTTATAAATGGGATTCTGCTGTTATGCAAAACAAGAGATCAAAGAAAATTAATGAAATTTATGTCCAAAAATTATATTTTAATCTCTTAAATACTAAAGTAATATTTGACGAGAATGATAGAAAATATCATTGTTTAACTGGTAGAAACTTCCAAATTTTTAGACTAGTTTCTCCTTCAGCCATTCATTCCTTTTTATGTTTAGTCATTCTGATTTTTTTTTTTTAAGTTTACCCTAAAGTTCACTAATGTCTTTATATGAAAGAAGAATCTGGCCAAAGAATCATGCACTCAAGGGAGGGGTGACCACAAATTCAGATCAGTGACTTAAAGCAAAAAGACATAAGTATATGCAGATGATAAAGGATATTCAGGTGCCCAGAGAAAAAGCAATAAGCAATTCCCTACCACTTGCCTGAAATATTTCCCAAGGATCAAGTATATCACCTAAGTCAGGAATTCTGTGTAGGAAGTAGGAGAGACACAACTCTCTCTGCTCTTTAATTAAATCTATCACAGTGTAGTAGGCTGGGTCTCCATACTCCCACTGGACTCTAATTAATATTAACTAAACACACCCCCAAATCAAGCATCCTCAGTGCTCAGGATAACATTGTCTGAACACACACAGACACTGAGATCCTCACGCAGCCACCCACCTACACTTAAATGTCAGGTTCTGGTTGTTTTTTTTGTTTTTTTTTTTTTTTTGTGGCCAGGGCTGGGTTTGAACCCGCCACCTCCGGCCTATGGGGCCAGCGCCCTACTCCTTTGAGCCACAGGCACCGCCTGGCTTCAGGTTCTTTTTAAAGGTGGCTAAGCTCTTAGCTTCATAAACTTGGGGAATAACAATACACTGAGTCGTTAACCAGTGATACCAGGAAGAAAACAAATGGTTACAGCGTGCTCATGAACACACAGCACATTACAAATGCCCCCTACACATTGCTGAAAGCATGAATGTAAACTAGGTAAAAAAAAAAAAAAAATTTACAGGATTTTTTAATTCCTAAATTTTTTGTAAATAGATAAAATATACCTTCAAGGTTAAGACAAAGCCTCAAAACCTCAGGTTCAGAGTAAGAACTCTTACAGAGAGGTATGCATAAAAAAATTAAACTATACTTTGTTTAACAAAATACTCCTTTCAAAAGAATATATTTGTTTCTTAACCCTGATTTTGTCTCAAGTACATAAGCAAAATTTATAGTGAAGCCAAAAGATTTACCCTTTAGTTGATACAGCAGGCTCAAGTGCCTAACAGTCCAAAGCTTAAAGTATGAGGATATTCTACTGTGTTCCCATGTGTGTTTGAAGTAACCTTAGAACTAAGTTGATACTTCCACACAGTTACTTAGTTTCATATGCTAATAACACCTCTGAGTGGATAAATAAACACCCATACCCATGCAATGGAGTATCATTTGGCAATAAGCAGGAATGAAATACTCATACATGCCGCAACACGGATGAACCTTGAAACTGTGCTCAGTGAAAGAAGACAGTCAAAGATCACATATGATAGGTTCCCGTTTATAGGCAAGGTCCGGGATCAACAAATCTAGAGAACCAGAAAGTAAGTTAATCAGTGGTACCTAGGGAAGGGAGGGTGGGGAGAATGGGGAGTAACTGCTCAGAACTTTTCAGAGTGATGAAAATTTTCTAAAGTGAGTGCAGTGACAGCTGCACAAATGTAAACTGTTTCCAAGATGTGTTTTGTTGTTGTTGTTCTGCAAGTCCCCAATTACAATCTTGCAGTGTTCATAAAACCCTTAGTTTAGCTGTCTTCAAATCAATTGCAATGTGCTATTGAGCCCCTTTGTTTTAGGACTATCTACTAAAATATTTGATGACTGAAGTTATGACACCTGGAATTTGCCTTAAAAGAATCCAATGGGTGTTTAAAAGGGGGAGTGGTGTGTATAGGGTGGCTGTGTTTTAGCTACAGAAACTAGGGAGAGGTCAGTGGAAGTTTTACACTCTTTCTGCATTTGAGATTTTAATGTTATTCATAATAAAAGGTAAGGGGGAGAGGAGAAAGATCTTAAGATCTCCTGGCCACTTCTGTCTCTCTATGTTGGTTATATATGTTTGTATATATGTATATGTATTATATACACACACATACATACATACATACATACACACACCAATATAAACACATCGAAATATTTACAGATGAAATGATGTGATGCCTGAGATTTCCTTCAAAATAATAAGAGAATTGAATTTGACAAATGAACTAGGCAGCATGAAGGCTTCTTGGATTACCCATCCTTTTAGAGTTTCTTAGAACACATAGAGCCAGCAGCAGAGCCCAGAGAGGGGGTACAGATAAACCACTGCTGAAGGGTATATGTGGGTTCACTGTACAGCGTTTGTTCATATAAATTTAAAATTTTCCACAACACAAAGCTTTTTAAAAATGACTTCTCTTGCATAAATTCAAAACATGAGACTTTTTCCCCCCTTAAAACACCAAGAGATCATGGCACTGAGGCTTTCTCCTAAAATTGTTATTTAGTTGTTCTATAGATACAGTATCCGCTGGTTCTGTCATCACTTTGTAAATCCTGAGGTCAACCAGTCACATACAAACAAAAGTAGGAATATAACCAACTGGGGGACACAGTTAGGGGATGACATGTAGCAGAGAACCTGTCAGTTCCAAATCACAGATTCCTCCCCTGCTGTGGTGTGCTCAGACCCAGAGACCAGGACGTGCCCAGACCACCCACCAGGTATTAGCCTTCATCTTCTGGTGGTTGGCCCTTTATTTTTGTATTTCATCAAATCCTCCTGTGGTTTGAGTGACAGATCTAAGTGCATTTACCTCTGAAATAATTCACCATAGTAAACTGATTTCAGGTTTTAATTTTAGAAGAGAAAAAATAGTTTTCAATAATCCTATACTAGCTATCTTTGAGAAGACAATACATTATGATTTTACAAAGAGCAAATCCTAAAAATTATGCAAGATTGATCACTGGCCCATGGTATTTAGAGAAATGAAACGTACCCTCCATTTGGCTGAATTTAGTCTGAAAAGTGTAGTAGGAATCTAATTCCTACCCTGTTTGGAATACCCATCCTCCTGTAATCATCCAGATCTTCATAGAGACCAGCAGCACGACCCTAGGGCTGGGCCACAAGGATGGGATTTTGCCCACATGATACTCCAATTGCGGATGCTCACCATGGCACAAGATGTACCCCCCACAAGATCGCCCAACATCAAAGCATTTCAAAAGGAGAATAATTTGCTTCAGCTGAAGTATAAAATTTCAGGCTAGGCTTAAGGAACCTAATGTTCTTAATGTTCTTATTCAAACAATTACTTTGGGTCCAATTAGTTCACCCTGCACTCTGAAAATTTGGCCTTGAATCTCAGTATGCATGGACCTGCAAAAAGCACAGTTTTACGCATTCAAGACAAATTTGTTACAGACCTTAGTACAAAAATATGGGCACTGCCAGACTTTCAGGTTTCCACAATTCATAGAAAAGACATCTACTTTACTGTACCCATCTTCCACAACGATTCCACAAAGACAGGGTTTTCAAGTCCCTCAACAGGCAGCAAACCTCAGGGGGCAGAAGAATGCCTTGGAAGTTGGGCAGTTGTGAGGCAGCAGGGGTGAGCAGCCACCCAGTGGCCACCAAGCTGGCAGGCAGTAGTAGCCTTTCTCCCAAGTCCCAGCACACTTTTGTCCTAGGATCAGCCCCCGCAGATAGAGGGGGCAGGCCCAGGTCCTGGAGCAAGGCAGGCATCTCCAGCCAGCTGCCCTGTGCGTCTGGAGCTTTGGTCACCTCATCCATAATGACAGGTTCAGGTTCTAGAGAATTAAATGCCCCCCTCCCCCGCAGTAGCCTGCATGGCTCCAGGAGCCCACGGGAGTTAGGGTCCTCCTGTAATGACCATGTTCTAGTGCTATTTACACACACCCTCTCATTACCCGCACTCCTCTGGGGGTCTAGCCGCTCCACACATTTCACATTTGTGTGTGTCTTAATGCAGAATAAAACAAGCAAAGACAAAGAGCCAGATATCTTTGTTTTATTCTACTAGCTTGACATGGTCAATAAAATCTTTTAGACTTCCAAGAATGGACCCTGCCCCGGCGACCCAATTCTCCCCCGAACTCCACAGGCTCAGAACATTTTTCTCCAGCTTCCATGCCTTCAAATACTTCAAGTGACCTGAGAGACTGGGCTCCCCAACTGCACGGGACAATGGAAGGAACTGATCAGATCCCCCTGGCCCCAAGGGGGTACCCGAGCCCGGGGTGCGCGCGTTATACTCACCGAGGAGCCGGCCCAGAACGGACAAGAGTTCTTCACCTGCGGGGAGCTGCTCAGCGACAGTGCCCCGAAGCTGAGCGCCACCATGCAGCAGCCCAAGATCAGCTGCAGCAGCCCGAGCGACAGCAGCGGGCGGGCAGGCAGCAGCGCGGAGCCCGGGGCGGCCGCGGCTGCTCGGCGCGAGGAGAAGGCGGGCGGCGCGGCCAGCACCCCGGCGGCGGGGGCTGCGCAGCG